TATGGTGTTTTATAGTGAAACTGTATGCCTACATCTTTACTTGTCCTAGGAACATGCCTACATCTGTTCTTGTCCTAGGAACATGCCTACATCTGTTCTTGTCCTAGGAACATGCCTACATCTGTTCTTGTCCTAGGAACATGCCTACATCTGTTCTTGTCCTAGGAACATGCCTACATCTGTTCTTGTCCTAGGAACATGCCTACATCTGTTCTTGTCCTAGGAACATGCCTACATCTGTTCTTGTCCTAGAGACATGCCTACATCTGTTCTTGTCCTAGGGACATGCCTACATCTGTTCTTGTCCTAGGGACATGCCTACATCTGTTCTTGTCCTAGGGACATGCCTTCATCTGTTCTTGTCCTAGGGACATGCCTACATCTGTTCTTGTCCAAGAGTTCTGTCAGTATCCAGTATTAATAAAGCTCTGTTACTCCGGACCCTCAAGGAAACTTGAATACATACATCCCTCAAATAGAGGGCAATAGAAGAGCAATATAATATTTTTTTTCTAGAGTAATAGTATTAAGAGGCCATGTGGAATGTACATAGATGGATATTTCTTTCCACACTCCACATACTAACTACCCTCATTCATGTTCAGAGATGGTTTTAGCACCACCTTCATGTGAGGAGGATTTACTTTGTACTTTGTTTGTAGGATTTCTGTTAGGATTATTCCAGCTTCTGCTTATTTTAATACAAAAGTGTTTATGTTGAAGTGGCTCCATTTACAGGAAGTTTACTCTGGGCAATGGTTACTCTGAACCATACACACTGGGAATGCTTTATGAGTGAATAACTCACATGTAAATGTTTTGTAAGTAGGTAAGGTGTATACACATGTACTAGGGTGGGGGTTAATTGTACATTTGATTAACCTACTTGTCATGCACTCCATAATAATGTGGGCTGGGTGAGATCTGATGGCGAACATATGGCATTATCAGTTTCATTTTGAGACACCCGCTGTGTACTGCCTTACACTATAGTATGTCCACTCTGTACTGCCTTACACCAAACAAACAACCACCAACTGTACTGCCCTACACCATAGTATGTCCACTCTGTACTGCCCTACACTATAGTATGTCCACTCTGTACTGCCCTACACTATAGTATGTCCACTCTGTACTGCCCTACACTATAGTATGTCCACTCTGTACTGCCCTACACTATAGTATGTCCACTCTGTACTGCCCTACACTATAGTATGTCCACTCTGTACTGCCCTACACTATAGTATGTCCACTCTGTACTGCCCTACACTATAGTATGTCCACTCTGTACTGCCCTACACCATAGTATGTCCACTCTGTACTGCCCTACACTATAGTATGTCCACTCTGTACTGCCCTACACTATAGTATGTCCACTCTGTACTGCCCTACGCTATAGTATGTCCACTCTGTACTGCCTTACACTATAGTATGTCCACTCTGTACTGCCCTACACTATAGTATGTCCACTCTGTACTGCCCTACACTATAGTATGTCCACTCTGTACTGCCCTACACTATAGTATGTCCACTCTGTACTGCCCTACACTATAGTATGTCCACTCTGTACTGCCTTACACTATAGTATGTCCACTCTGTACTGCCTTACACTATAGCATGTCCACTCTGTACTGCCCTACACTATAGTATGTCCACTCTGTACTGCCCTACACTATAGTATGTCCACTCTGTACTGCCCTACACCAAACAAACAACCAACAACTGTACTGCCCTACACTATAGTATGTCCACTCTGTACTGCCTTACACTATAGCATGTCCACTCTGTACTGCCCTACACTATAGTATGTCCACTCTGTACTGCCCTACACTATAGTATGTCCACTCTGTACTGCCCTACACCAAACAAACAACCAACAACTGTACTGCCCTACACTATAGTATGTCCACTCTGTACTGCCCTACACTATAGTATGTCCACTCTGTACTGCCCTACACCAAACAAACAACCAACAACTGTACTGCCCTACACTATAGCATGTCCACTCTGTACTGCCCTACACTATAGTATGTCCACTCTGTACTGCCTTACACTATAGCATGTCCACTCTGTACTGCCTTACACTATAGTATGTCCACTCTGTACTGCCTTACACTATAGCATGTCCACTCTGTACTGCCCTACACTATAGTATGTCCACTCTGTACTGCCTTACACTATAGCATGTCCACTCTGTACTGCCTTACACTATAGTATGTCCACTCTGTACTGCCTTACACTATAGCATGTCCACTCTGTACTGCCCTACACTATAGTATGTCCACTCTGTACTGCCCTACACTATAGTATGTCCACTCTGTACTGCCCTACACCAAACAAACAACCAACAACTGTACTGCCCTACACTATAGTATGTCCACTCTGTACTGCCCTACACTATAGTATGTCCACTCTGTACTGCCTTACACCAAACAAACAACCAACAACTGTACTGCCCTACACTATAGTATGTCCACTCTGTACTGCCCTACACTATAGTATGTCCACTCTGTACTGCCCTACACTATAGTATGTCCACTCTGTACTGCCCTACACTATAGTATGTCCACTCTGTACTGCCCTACACTATAGTATGTCCACTCTGTACTGCCTTACACCATAGTATGTCCACTCTGTACTGCCCTACGCTATAGCATGTCCACTCTGTACTGCCTTACACTATAGTATGTCCACTCTGTACTGCCCTACGCTATAGTATGTCTACTCTGTACTGCCCTACGCTATAGTATGTCCACTCTGTACTGCCCTACGCTATAGTATGTCCACTCTGTACTGCCCTACACTATAGTATGTCCACTCTGTACTGCCCTACACTATAGCATGTCCACTCTGTACTGCCCTACGCTATAGTATGTCCACTCTGTACTGCCTTACACTATAGTATGTCCACTCTGTACTGCCCTACGCTATAGTATGTCCACTCTGTACTGCCCTACACTAAAGTATGTCCACTCTGTAGTGCCCTACGCTATAGCATGTCCACTCTGTACTGCCTTACACTATAGTATGTCCACTCTGTACTGCCCTACGCTATAGTATGTCCACTCTGTGCTGCCCTACACTATAGTATGTCCACTCTGTACTGCCCTACACTATAGCATGTCCACTCTGTACTGCCTTACACCAAACAAACAACCAACAACTGTACTGCCCTACACTATAGTATGTCCACTCTGTACTGCCCTACACTATAGTATGTCCACTCTGTACTGCCCTAGGCTATAGTATGTCCACTCTGTACTGCCCTACGCTATAGTATGTCCACTCTGTACTGCCATACGCTATAGTATGTCCACTCTGTACTGCCTTACACTATAGTATGTCCACTCTGTACTGCCCTACACTATAGTATGTCCACTCTGTACTGCCCTACACTATAGTATGTCCACTCTGTACTGCCCTAGGCTATAGTATGTCCACTCTGTACTGCACTACGCTATAGTATGTCCACTCTGTACTGCCCTACGCTATAGTATGTCCACTCTGTACTGCCCTACGCTATAGTATGTCCACTCTGTACTGCCCTACACTATAGTATGTCCACTCTGTACTGCCCTACACTATAGTATGTCCACTCTGTACTGCCCTAGGCTATAGTATGTCCACTCTGTACTGCCCTACGCTATAGTATGTCCACTCTGTACTGCCCTACGCTATAGTATGTCCACTCTGTACTGCCCTACGCTATAGTATGTCCACTCTGTACTGCCATACGCTATAGTATATCCACTCTGTACTGCCCTACACTATAGTATGTCCACTCTGTACTGCCCTACACTATAGTATGTCCATTCTGTACTGCCTTACACTATAGTATGTCCACTCTGTACTGCCCTACACTATAGCATGTCCACTCTGTACAGCCTTACACTATAGTATATCCACTCTGTACTGCCCTACACTATAGCATGTCCACTCTGTACTGCCTTACACTATAGTATGTCCACTCTGTACTGCCCTACACTATAGTATGTCCACTCTGTACTGCCCTACGCTATTGTATGTCCACTCTGTACTGCCCTACACTATAGTATGTCCACTCTGTACTGCCCTAGGCTATAGTATGTCCACTCTGTACTGCCCTACACTATAGTATGTCCACTCTGTACTGCCCTACGCTATAGTATGTCCACTCTGTACTGCCCTACGCTATAGTATGTCCACTCTGTACTGCCCTAGGCTATAGTATGTCCACTCTGTACTGCCATACGCTATAGTATATCCACTCTGTACTGCCCTACACTATAGTATGTCCACTCTGTACTGCCCTACACTATAGTATGTCCACTCTGTACTGCCTTACACTATAGTATGTCCACTCTGTACTGCCCTACACTATAGCATGTCCACTCTGTACAGCCTTACACTATAGTATGTCCACTCTGTACTGGCCTGCTACCGTGACTTGCTACAGTGCAATGTGTCCACTCTTTGTTGGCTTACTACAGTGATTTTCTGCAGTGTATTTACTCTGTGCTGGCTTGCTACAATGTGTCCACTCTGTGCTGGATTGCTACAGTGTCCACTCTGGGATCAATTAATTATTTGGTCATTGTGGGATAATGGGTCTGAAGGTCTCTGGGGCGGTGATAAAACTTCCAGGTCAGAAAGCCCTTGATGACACTTGCCTTTCATCACTCTGTACATAGATAAGAGCTTGAGAATGCCAACAGCTCTTTAATTGCATAACCCTTAATGGTTCACATCTCTTTGAAACAGTAACAAAGTAGGATATTTCAGACTTTGCATACCCAAAATTAATTACTGCTGAGAGATGGATATCTCTGATACTAGAAGAAAGCTGTGCATGCTCCATTGTGTGCTGCCAAAGTATATCTGCACAGCCAGGATCACCATATCATTAACACATTTTCTGCTCAGATCACACTTCAAATGATACAGGTCTCCTCGGTGTTCAGAAAACTACTCTTTAGGTACACTATTTACTACATCTTAATGATATCTTCTTTTGTTTACAGGAACAACTTGCTTGACTCCACAGACATCGTCAGTCCAGGTAATGGCCAGATTTATTTTGATAGCTAGGAGGAGGCATTGCCTAGTGTTATCCTTGCCACCTTGATAGATGGGATGGTGATTGCCACCCATAGCTGTTGGTCATCACAGAAACAAGCGACAGGGCAATACTGAGACAGACAGGGCAGTACTCAGACAGACAAGGCCAATACTGAGACAGACACAGGGCAGTACTGAGACAGACACAGGGCAATGTGAGACAGACAAGGGCAATACTAAGACAGACAAGGGCAGTACTGAGACAGACACGGGCAGTACTGAGACAGACACAGGGCAGTACTGAGACAGACAAGGCCGATACTGAGACAGACAAGGGCAATACTGAAACAGATAAGGGCAGTACTGAGACAGACACAGGGCAATACTGAGACAGACACAGGGCAATATTGAGACAGACACAGGGCAATACTGAGACAGACAAGGGCAGACCTGAGACAGACACAGGGCAATACTGAGACAGACAAGGGCAATACTGAGACAGACAAGGGCAATATTGAGACAGACAAGGGCAGTACTGAGACAGACACAGGGCAATACTGAGACAGACAAGGGCAATATTGAGACAGACAAGGGCAGTACTGAGACAGACACAGGGCAATACTGAGACAGACACAGGGCAATACTGAGACAGACAAGGGCAGTACTGAGACAGACACAGGGCAATACTGAGACAGACACAGGGCAATACTGAGACAGACAAGGGCAGTTCTGAGATAGACACAGGGCAATACTGAGACAGACACACAGGGCAATACTGAGACAGACACAGGGCAGTACTGAGATAGACACAGGGCAATACTGAGACAGACAAGGGCAGTACTGAGACAGACACAGGGCAATACTGAGACAGACAAGGGCAGTACTGAGATAGACACAGGGCAATGCCGACATTTTAATGTCCTTAAAATATTTTCAATTTTGTTTGTCAAATGTCAATTCATTTATAAGGTATGAGGATGAGATCTGTTTTCTGACAGAAAATGATATGTTTGAATGTTAAATGTTATTGCAGTATTATATATACTTCAAAGATGTCAAAGCTTCGGGTTGTTGCCATATAGTACTGGTGGAAAGGACCAGCTGAGATAATTATCAGTGTAAATGAACAGGGCATCTAGACAGACCTACTATGGTGGCTGGCTGGTTGTGTCTGTGTGGTGACAAGGAGCACTTGTTGTGGGCTCTGGTAAGGTGCTCCTGCTGCTATTTCTTCTTCTAGCATGCTGTGTGAAATGTACTCTTAGCTACTGATGCAAGACTACTTCAATTAATGAAGACAGTTACAGAGGTTGAAACTTTCAAGTGATTAAATTGAAAATTCTTCAGACCGTAATATGCATGTCTTCACAAATAAAAGTTGTTGGTAATGTGCTGAGCGAGCTGTCACAGTTATGGGAAAGGCAAGCGCAAGTGTATAAAGTCAGTCTCGTTTACCCTGCATGGAGTAGAGAAAGATGTCTGGCAAAGGAAAGAAATAAAACATTGTCTAGCAATTTTTGCTCCTGATCTTATCAAAGGGGACAGAATGCTGTTTTCTTGGAGGAAAATCAGAAATGTTTTAACTGGAGCCCTCTTGACATATTTTTCTACTTACTCAGTGTCAATGGAGATGAATGGGGAACAGATTAATGGCCAATATTTCAATTCATTTTGCATTTGAACTGAATATCTCAAAGAGGGCCTTTTAAGTTGGAGATGTGTGTAAACTTGGCTGGTAGTGGCTGTGGCTTGCGGTGTGAGCAAGGATGGTGTTGGAGGAGATGTGTGTGTGTGATGACAGGCATTGCATGAGCTGTAGCTTGTCTGGGAAGGAACACACACCTTACTTCACAGTTTACCTGCACACTCAGCTCAAGCTGCACTAATTACATTAGAATAGGACAGCCAATGTAAGGCTAAATGGGGGATATGGGAGAGAAAATAAACATTTGGACTTGCATGCAGGGGAGTTCATTTTGGTTGTAAACATGAAGAAGTTGATGTATTTTGAGTTCCCTTACCAGTGATGACTTGGAGAAACATTCTTGTTCTCCTTCCATGGTTCTGTATATGTTGTTTGGACGATTTTGTGGCTAGATAATTTGTTTATGTTTTATTCTCAGATGTGGTCTCTTTTATTATCCTCTTGCATGTCCCATCCAGTGTAATTGAGCTATAACAAACTTAGTGCTCATCATATAGCTAGAACAGGCATACTCCTCACATGATAGGGGGTAGTAGTGAAATTAGTATGAAAGGAATGGATTAAAGATTTTATCATAACATCATACAGGATAAAAGATTCTTTTGCAAGTTCTTTTTCACCCATTTCCAGTATGGTGATGATTGACATTTTCAATTTACCAGGACCCAAGGTCCAAGTGAGCTTACATCATGGCACATTGTCATTCATCTGCCCTTCCATCTTCTTCTTCCAAGAAACATCTGAAGGGAAGAGCCTGAAGCTTCAGGTGGATGTCTGGCATACCATAATAATCTCACTGACATTTGTTCATGGCCATTGCATCTAAATTTTAGTTGTCTCTTTATGAAAAAAATAAATATGTCAAAATGTGAACATCGTTACAAAGTGACAAGTCCTAGGAATCATTGCTATATGTAGCAAAACATTAGGATTAGGATTTGTTCATGCAGATAAAATAAAAATTGAAAACTAAGATTATCACAGTCACAGTCACAGATTATTTGGCTCACTTTGAATGTCTCTGGTGAGCAACAGAGCCTTGGTCCTTTTTTTATGAGTTTTCTTGATTTAGTTTTACTCTTTTTATACTCACCACCAAAAGAAACTTGAACCATAGAAACATAGAGAGAAGTATGTACATTAAGAAGAGATGCTTCCAATGTGTACCATATTGACAAAACTAACAATCAGTCAAGTGTTACCAAGGAGTGTCTTTATTCTAAGATATAGTGCAGGTGATTTCCATGCTAATCCTACACGAGACAAATGGTGCATCTGGAGTCATGGATCTATGATGTCACATGTGCTCTGTTCATGAGCATCCGTTCAGACAACATAATCAGGTGTTCGTTTGTGCATCGAACCAATCTTATATCTCTTGAATATGAGTAATTCTTCATATATTAACCAATATGTATGGTATTTCGCGTTTCTTTTGTCGGTATATATGTACTGTATATGACATTGGTAGATTAGAAAATATTATTTAGTCAGGGGTAAATATATTTTTCAAGAAGATTTGATTAAATAAATATTGAAAGAATTTCCACATGGTTACTTCTCTTTCGCATAATGGCACTGATAGGTAGTTTTGTCCCTCCAACTATGTAGTAGCAGTGGGAGGCAAGCTTCATCATCGTCTTCTGTTGGCCTAGGTCAGTCAACTCATTGCTGTTGCTGTTGCTGCTGCTCCATACGGTTTACTCAGTTATTCAGTTTCATTCAGTTGAATACTATCGCAAATTAAGTCAAATCTGTGTGAGAATTCTAATGTGCAACAAAGAGGTAGCCTTAACAAGAATGTGTGAATCTTTCTCACGCATTAACAATGACTAGAGGAAATCTTGAAAGCAAAAAGATGAATGACTTTATTTGCATTAAAAAGTGTTGGCTTTGTGGATGAATGTTTTTGGTAGTGGGTATGTTTGCTTGTGGTATTTAGTGAGGCCGTCCCTCCTGCACTTGAGGCCTGAATATATTGGGGAGCTGTCCCTCTTGGCCTCATCCCCCATTCTGTTCATCCACCCAACTACATGTTCCAGCGGTGTAACCCACACAATATTTCTTTTCACAGCCTTCCAATAATGTATTTATTTGTTACACAAATGAAGGTTACTGGCCCGGTATTGAGTCCACTTATGTTGAGTATAAGGAGCTGGTTTTGAACTTTATATTTGCACTGTACCCATATGAAAGCACCCTAAAAGAGGCTGACTATAGCTGTGTGAACATCCTGGCTAGGTAAACAGGCTATTGTCACCTTGATAACTAATTCTATTTGAGTTCTATGTGTTTCCAAGTTACAACATCAGCCTTGAAAGGTGTGACAATTTCTTTCATAGGAAGTAAGTTTTGGGGTCAGATATATGTATTTTATCATGGTCACACTAATACCTAGCAATGTGTCTATGTTAAATGCCCAGATAAATGCTGGTTGACACAGGTATGTATGTTTATGGGCTTCTACCTGGTCTAAAGTGTTGGGCGCAATATATTGCTCCCAAATCCTGAAATTCTTGCCACCTGTAAACACTTACATCCCAAGAATTTCTGTCCTATTATGAACTGCCTCTCTTGATGTTTAGGCCAATTTAAGGTTACCAGGTGGAACTGATTTATATTGCTGTAATGAGAAGATTTCACATACTCGCAAACTGAGTGCATTATTCTTTAGTTTCCTACAGAATGTACATTGTCATTTCTCAGTAATATCAATTTTAATGAGGTGCCAATATTGCAATAAAGTCTTTGAGAATATACAAAAAATCCATTTTGAATTCTATGTCCTAAATGACAAAATAGACAAAACAATTTTTTTAATTTGGACCATGTGTGACTGACAAATTTGAGATATATTGATGTTGATCAAGTAACTTGATATGGCTGTTGAAGGTGTTAATGGTTATTATAGACCTGGGAGGGAGCAGAATGAAATAGTTGTGAGTTACATCAGTTGATGATCACAAGTTAAACTGGAGGGACATTGTGGGGTTTAGATGGGGCATCGGAAGCTCGGGGATGATCAGGAAATGTTTATTTCTAACTGGTGCAGATACCTTTCAGCTGTCGCTACACAACTGGCAAAAAGCAGCAGCTGCTGGTCTGGGCAGCAGTAGTCAGGGACAGCTACATCACTGCCTTCATCTAGGACAGACAAGGGAGATAATTAGACAAGACATTCAGGGTAGGGAGCTGAAACCTGGCACAGACTTGCATATGCTTTGAGGTCTTTCTTCAGACATTGTCTGCAGTGTCTCATGCCATCTGTACTCAGCATGCTCATCAGGGAAAAGAAT